GAATGGATATCGTTTTCACACAGCAAGCTACAAGCAGAGTCAGCCTAATCGAAAAACCACAAACAATGGTGTTATACATCCAGCACTGATGGACTTGACTATTATGGAAGAATTGAAGAAATTTATGAACTATCATTCTATGGTTCCAAACCTCTTACTCCTATGATATTCAAATGCCTCTGGTTTCATCCTGGTGTAACGAGATGGACCCCTAAGCTTGGGCTAGTCGAGATTCGACAGGATTCTATCTATCCAGGAAAATATGTCTACATTGTGGCTCAACAAGCCGTCCATGTTTATTATACGTCATACGCGTGCAAAGACGCCGAGCATCTTAAGGGTTGGTCCATTGTGCACAAGGTGTCTCCACACGGTAAACTACCTGTCCCAAACGATGAAGATTACAAATTCAACCCAAACACATATGATGGAGAGTTCTATCAAGAAGAGAGGCTACAAGGGAGGTTTGACATAGACTTAACCGAAGAGATAGGAATGGAAGTAGACAATGAAAGGGATGATGACGAGATCGCTGGAGACGAGGTGCGAAATATGAAGGACATACAAATGCTTGAGCGATTACATTTAGGCAATGACAATGAAGACAACATTCCTCCTTTGGATAGTGTTGATGAGTTGGACAATGTCGATATTGATGACGAGACCTATGATCCAACTAATCTCAATCATGAAGATTATTTCTAATACATGTAATACTATGTTTTTTGTAATTATGTTTTGTTCATTTTGCACCTATTTCTAATTATGTCTTGTTTTTCTTTTTTATTGCAGGTGATTGAACAAAGATGGCGGGCGACCGTCATAGGTCTGTGAACTCGATTTACCAAAGACCACGCCAGCTGCAGGAGGAGGCAGAGGGGGCGGCGGAGGGATCGGACAGGAGGAGGAGGATCCGCCATAGGAGGGGGCCATCTCCTCCCACGCCACGTGAGGAGGAGCTGGAGGAGGAGGTGGCGCCCGTGGATGAGGAGGACGAGGAGCTGGTTCGACAGACAGACGAGGAGGAGGAGGAGGATGGGGAGGAAGGGGAGGCGGCAGGCACGGGTTCTGCTTCCTCTGACTCCTCTTCGAGTGTCTACTTGCGAGGTCCCACGAGCCTCCCACAGGTTCCGCTTCCTCACCAATGCAAAAGTAAGTAACTTTATATGTTATCACCACTACTTCATATGATATGATGAAAAAAACTAATAATTTTTCTTAATCACTTGTGCAGGAACTGGGTGGTTGTGTCGGGTGGTAGCGCACGGCTAGTCAACGGCATCCTGGGTCTTCTGTGCAGGCAACACTTCCCCGGCATTGTCACGTACGCATCGAAGACAGAGTCGGCCTACTCGTTTGACCACTACGCCGTCGCCCCCGATGCGGAGTACCCCAACAAGGCGGCGCTGGTGAAGGTAGAGTTTGGGGTAAGTCTCCCTGGCAAAGAACATTGCTCAATACGTCGCATTCATTGGACTTTTCTTGAAATAATGAATGGATACATCACTTTTGTATGCAAACTTATTACAGATGCGAGGAGAGATTTGAGGCCAGGGCAGAGCAGGTGACTACCAAAGCATGTAGAAAACTCATCACCGACATGCATCATGAGGTGCACTTCCAAGCCATCGTAACCTACTATGGGTCGAAGCTTGGAGAGAGGAAAACCAAGAAAGACGCAAGAGAGATGCAGCTGACCCGGGAGCAGTACCTTGAGGTAAATGAAGAACATCAATATTGATTCGTTTTGAGATTAAGTTGATTTAATTTGATCTTCTTATATGTCCAATACTTGATGACATGTAGATGATTCCCTGGTGGTGCCAAGCGTATCCCGAGTGCTGGGCGATGATGGTGGAGAGGTGGTTCACGGAGGAGTACCTCAAGATGCATAGGGATGCCCGGGACCGTCGTTTGCAGATGCAAGGTCCAGCACACCATCAAGGCAGCCGCAACCTCGCTGGATACAAACAAGCATGGGTACGCAAATTCATTTCTCTATTGTGATGCTCAGTTCTACCTGATTTCTAATCATCATGCTGTCTTTCTCGGAGTCGGCGTCACATAGTGGCCAGGCTTGCTCGGACTTCTAGGCATGGTGTATGGCCCACAAGGGCAAGGCGACGTCCGACGTCTCCTTCAACCTGGAGGACCCGCCTGAGGCATACATGAACCCGAGCGTCCACTCCCGCATCAGTGAGTACACTGAGGTGGCGAGGTCGCTCCGTGGGTTAGACCACGATCCGAGCACCTAGGACTTCGATGGAGAGGCTGTCATGAGGGCGGGGCAAGGCAAGAAGCATGGGCGGTTCTGGCTTGGCGACGGCGTCATCGACACGGACTGTACTCCCTCTCTCTCCTAGATCCGAGCACGGAGCACGAGCGAGAGCCCGCCCATTCGCACACGGCCGCCTGCTGCACAGCACTGGGTCGACGCACTCGAGGTTATTCCTGTTTTACTCGTCATACTTTGATCTTTACACACCTTAATTAGCTTTACATTACTGAAACATTGGAGTGAAATATTGCAGGCCCGGCTGGAAGAAGAAATGAAGCAACGTCTGGAGCTAGAGGCTGGGCACCAGAGGATGGCGGCCCAGCTGGAGGCCGAGCGGGCCGAGCGGCAGGCCCAGGCGCAGAGGCTGACGGACATTACGGAGTTCCTACAAGGGCTTGGCCATCGTATGGGGTTGTCTCTACCACCTGGGCTATTGGTTCCACCTCCGCCTCCGCGTCCTGTAGCTGCAGCTACTCCTATGAGTATGAAAGTTTTTTACTTTCGTTTGTGCTTTGCTTGTATGCCCTCTACCGTCCTAGATTAGCTATCCAAATAATCTTGTCTCACATGCAATCTTTTCTCCTTTGTGCAGTCTCCCTCTGACAGTGGTTCGAATAATCCACCTCATGCACCTCTGAATAATGGATCTATGCCTTCACCACAGTCGCAGTGGCCGAGATGAGTGCATGTTGTATTTTTTATATTTGTTGTTCACTTGGTGATGGACTTGTGATATACTTGTGATGCACTTGTGGACTTATGGATTTATTTGGATGGACTTGAGCACTTATTATTATATATGTGATATATTGTGATGGATGTGATATGTGCGGATGGATGTGTGGATGGATGAGATATATATGTGATGGATGAGATATATATGTGATATATGTTTGTATGAATTTATTTGTCATGATGGAATGTAAAAAAAATAAAAATTGCTGTTTTGGGTCACTTTGCCGAGTGTTGCACTCGGCAAAGGACCCCTTTGCCGAGTGCAATGGTCACAACACTCGGCAAAGCTGGAAAAATGGGCGTCCAGAAAACAAATTTTCCAGCTTTGCCGAGTGCTGTGACCGTGGCACTCGGCAAAGAAATTAAAAAAAAATCAAACTTTACCAAGTGCCGGGCAGAAGGCACTCGGCAAAGAATTTTAAAAAAAAAAATTCAAACTTTGCCGAGTGCCGGGCAGAAGGCACTCGGCAAAGAATTTTTTTAAAAAATCAAACTTTGAGTCGAAAGTCGGTAGGCACTCGGCAAAGAATTTTTTAAAAAAAAATTCAAACTTTGCCGAGTGCCAGCAAGAGGGCACTCGGCAAAGAAATTTTTTAAAAAAATAAAAAATCTTTGCCGAGTGCCTTCCGGGTTGGCACTCGGCAAAGAATTTTTTTTAAAAAAAAATAAAAACTCTTTGCCGAGTGCCTGCAGGGTTGGCACTCGGCAAAGAATTTTTTTAAAAAAAATAAAAAATCTTTGCCGAGTGCCTGTCGGTTTGGCACTCGGCAAAGAATTTGTTTTTTAAAAAATAAAAAATCTTTGCCGAGTGCCTGCAGGGTTGGCACTCGGCAAAGTGACCGTCAACGGGACCGGCGCCGTGACGGTTGCTTTTGTTTGACGAGTGTCCCCGGGGCACTCGACAAAGCCTTTGCCGAGTGCCCGATAAAAGACACTCGGCAAAGAGGGCTTTGTCGATCATTTTTTTGCCGTGTGTTCTTTGCCAAGTGCAATTTGGCCTTTGCCGAGTGTCTCAGGCACTCAGCAAAGAACCTGAATCCAGTAGTGTATTAATAAGCTCATTAAAATAGCTCTTTGCAATATCCTCAAGATCCATCCCACAGACTTTACATATAAAACCTTCAGCTATCCATTGCCTTGTCAAATCAATCTTTTCAATTGTGTAGTCCTCGGGATAAATACCTAAATATAGCTTGCAAGTCTTCAAATAATGAGGAAGATTTATATAGCTGAGATTCAGTATCTGTCTCATGCCTTCCAAGCTTGGGCTCATTTCAAAGTTGGAGCCCATCCTGTCCCTTACATGTTCCCAGTTGTCCTTTAGTTTGCTTGGCTGACTGGCTATTAGGCTAGATGTTGTGATGATTGCAAGTGGTAAACCACCACATTTTTTCAAAATTTGAGCGCAGATACTTCCTTCAAATATGGAGAGCAACCATCCTCTGAACCAAAAATTCTTTTGAAGAATAAACTCCTTGAGTCCTGGTCACTAAGTGCCTTCATCTTGTAAACACATTCAATGTTCTTAGTGCAGCATCCTCTAGCCACAGTTTCAATTCTTGAGTAGTTATTAATACTCTGCTACCATTAATGCTCTCTGGAAGAGCACATCTGATGATATCCCATGCAAAAGCCTCCCAGATGTCATCAATTACGATTAAGTACCTAACATATATAAAAGCATATGGAGCATAGCAAACCATTAGGATAGCGTAAAAGCATCCTCACTATAAACATACATTAACCAGGATATAAGAATACAATAGGGACACACATAAACTAGTCAATCATAAGAAAACAAGGTGAAAAGAAAAAAATACAGACAAATCAACATGTTTAGTTGTTGATTACATAATACTAGCATGCTAAATAAGAATGACATCAAATTAGAACAAACTAAATCACAAACAAACCATACTAAGCATACAATTATTTCTAGGCCGCATACCTCTGTTTTAGAAGAAATTTTCGGAGCACACTAATGAGTTCAGATTCTTTCCCACAATTCCATGTTGGTGTCCATAGGAGCTACAAAGCCAACTTGAGATAGCATAGTTCTCAGAAGCTTCCTGATGTTTGTTTTTTGGGACACAGACACAAAGGCTCGGCACTGAAACTCACCCTGAAGCTTGCAATAAACCTCATTTGCAAGGGTAGTTTTTCCTAGGCCTCCAAATCCAACTATAGAGAGCACCTTTAGCTCATTCTCTCCACCCATCAACTGAATTAGTTCATCCCTGGGGCCATCCATACCAACAAGGCCTGATGCTTCTGCGAACATTGCTAACAACCGAATATCAATGATTGTGTTGACTGACTTAGAGGTAACATCATCAGTCTTCTGGTACCTCTTGCGCCGCTCCTGCGCCTGCACAACACGGACCTTAAGGCCTTCAAACTCTTTGGCGATGTCATGCCGAATGTTCATGGTCGTCAACAACTTCGTGCTCCTATTCATGAAACCCATGAATCCGCGTGGCTTGCTGCTTGAATTGGGTTCCACACGGAGCATGAACTCACTGATGCTATCTTCGATGTCAAAAGACAGCTCACGTACCTCCTTGGCCCAGCACTTGTCCTGTTCATCAGGCTGTTCTGTATCTGAGATCTCCTTTAGGAACCTATGCATGCTCTCAAGCTCAGCTTTGAGGAACAAAATCTGCCCCTTAGCTTCTTTGAGCAGCTTGTACTCAGCTGTGAGCAAATCACCAAGCTTCGCTATCAGGGAGCCCATAGCTCCATGCGATGCGGTCACCACGGCAGCCTCCATAGATAACCTTGCCTTTCCTTTCTTTGCTGGCTCTCACTTTGACAGTGCGTGTGTAGTCTTATTTCTAGTCCTGAAAGTAAACAACGAAAGCTACATATTTAGATGTTTTTCTTTATCCATCACGAGTGACAATTCTAGTAGTCGATATTGACGACTTGTAGATCCGCTTTCTTTTTCTTCAGTGTGCCCAGATTCAATGAATTGAACAGAAGCTCCACTTGTTTTACAGGGTGCAGTTTTCTTTGGAGTGCAAACCGAATCAAGAACAAGAGGGAAGAGAGTGTGATCCATACCATATATACGGCGTACGAAGCCAGCAGGAGAGAGATCGAGAACGACAGGAATGTTGCTGTCCGGCCAAGTTTTCCTTCAAACTGAAGCCAAACCTTGTTGGAGATGAGAAATGGCAGGTACAGTAGTGAAAGCATGCAGGAGCGCCGGGCGGTGGAAGTGCAAGCTTGGGTGAAAGCAATGGCGAAGGAGTACTGGCGCCACTGAGTGCGTGGTTCCAAATGCTGGATCTGCAAATGAAGCTCAGGGTTTGATAGATCGAACTGCACAATGCAAACCCTCTGTAACTGCCCGCAGTTTCTCAGAAAACCACCTCTTCAGTCGCAATATTTTTGGTTCCCTTTATTTGTATGCAAGTCCTTTGTATGGGGGACTGGGATACAATATAGTAGGACAACGTACACAATACTGCACAAGACTCGTTTGGGACGAACGACAAGCAAGATGGCATACAATAATTGGGTGCTTCGTTGCGCGCTTCAGGTCTTGAGCTGGGATCCCATGTGGCCATGCATCTATCTCAAACGTTGTTTTGTGTTGCTTCCCACGTGATTACACATGACCATAGGGAACAGAGGGATCTGATCGAGGCGGTGGCCCGGTTTAATTAATTTCCCCAGAGATAGATTCCTCTTGTTGTGGCAAATGTTATCTAATCCCAGTTAACATATATTGGAGCAAAGGATGCCCTACTGTTGTATGACAATACCATACCATGTCAACAAGTCTATCTTCAAAATTGAATTTGAGCTTTTGCTGTGCAGGGCAAAGAAGAAATACTTCCCAAAAAATTCAGGAATATGGATTACAAGCTTAGACTAAATAAGAGAGCTCGAGTGTATTCTATTTTCCTCTTATTCTTTCCCTTTTTAGTTCCCTAATCACTACTGGAAACAGAGACTTTGCCGAGTGCAAAATTCTTTGCCGAGTGTCAAAAATCGGGCATTCGGCAAAGAATTGCACTCGGCAAATAGTTCTTTGCCGAGTGCCGGGCACTCGGCAAACACGGACACTCGGCAAAGGACTTCTTTGCCGAGTGCCAGACTCTCGGCAAAATCTCTACACTCGGCATAGGCTGCCCGCGAAACGGCGTTCGGTCATGGCATTCTTTGCCGAGCGCCTGCTGTTAGGCACTCGGCAAAGATTTGTTTTTTTTTTAAATTTCTTTGCCGAGTGCCCCAAGATCTGGCACTTGGCAAAGATTTAAATTTTTTAAAAAATTCTTTGCCGAAGCGTCTGAATCTGGCCTTCGACAAAAATTTTTTTTTAAAAAAACTTTGCGAAGTGCCTACATCAAGCTTCGGCAAAGGTTTAATTTTTTTTATAATTTCTTTGCGAGTGCTCTGTGGATGCACTCGGCAAAGAGGGATTTTTTAAAAAAAATTAAAACACTCTTTTTAGAGTGCCTTATTCTGGCACTCGGCAAAGACCCCTTTCTTGAGAGTCAAAATTACTCAACAAAGTTTTTTTTTTTTTTTGTTTTTGGCCTCAATTTTTTTGTGCAGCCCTTTTTAAAGCACCAGGAACTCCTAGTTACAATTTGGGGATTTTTTGTGGCTTTTGATATATTTAGTTACTTTATTTCGTTTACTTGAATTTTTTGAAAATTAGAAATTTTGCTGCGTTAATGCGAATAATGGAGTTTAATGATTCTAAAATTGATAGTCATGTTAGTGAGTATTGTGAGAGGCCGTATCCAGGAACGGACCCGAAATTTCGGACATCTTATTCACGAAACATGTCCGCGAAATTACGTGTGAAGTGTTTTTAAATTCTATAAAAAGCAAACGAAGTTCAAAAATCATGAAACTTGTTGAGATGTCGTGATATCATATGGGGAGGCTATGATAAAAATTTCAGAAGATTTCGTGCATGTTGTCACGTATGATGCTTACAATCCAGGACATCTCTACATCTTGTTTCATGAAAGGGATGTAGAGATGTCCTGGTTTGTAAGCATTGTACGTGACAACATGCACGAAATCTTCTGAAATTTTTATCATAGCCTCCACATATGATATCACGACATCTCAACAAGTTTCATGATTTTTGTACTTCGTTTGCTTTTTATAGAATTTAAAAATACTTCACACGCAATTTCGCGGACATGTTTCGTGAACAAGATGTCCGAAATTTCGGGTCCGTTCCTGGATACGGCCTCTCACAACACTCACTAACATGACTATCAATTTTCGAATCATTAAACTCCATTATTCGTACCACGTGCAGTTCAAATTTCTAATTTCCGAAAAAATCAAGTAAACGAAATAAAGTAACTAAATATATCAAAAAGCCACAAAAAATCCCCAAATTGTAACTAGGAGTTCCTAGTGCTTTAAAAGGGCTGCATAAAAAAAATTAGAGGCCAAAAACAAAAAACAAAAAAAACTTTGCCGAGTGCCGGGGTATGGCACTCGGCAAAGGGGTCTCTGCCGAGTGTCAGGAACAAGGCACTCGGCAAAGAGTGTTTTAAATTTTTTTCAAAAAAATTTCCTCTTTGCCGAGTGCATCCACAGGAGCAATCGGCAAAGAAATTATAAAAAAAATTAAACCTTTGCCGAGGGCCGTGACAGGGGCACTCGACAAAGTATTTTTTTTAAAAATTTTTTTCCTTTACCGAGCGCCAGATCTGAGACACTCGGCAAAGAATTAAAAAAAAATTTAAATCTTTGTCGAGTGCCAGATCTGGGGGCACTCGCCAAAGAAATTTTTTTTTAAAAAAAAAATCTTTGCCGAGTACCTCCCTGATCCGGCACTCGGCAAAGCCGCGAGCGCGAGGACTTAATCGTTTTTGGTCGGCCAGCGATCGAGCGAGCCAGCCGGCCCCGTTGCCGCCTGCCCCCGCCTCTGCGCCGCCTTCGCCCCCCAGAGCCGCCCGCGCCATGCCGCCGCCGTCATCGCCCGCCCCAGCGCCTTCATGCCCTTCTTCAGCGCCACTGCCGCCCGCGCCGCCGCCTACCCATGGCAAGGTGGCGTCGGCGTGCCCCTCATTGCCCGTGACCGCACACAGGTGCCTCATCGACCCCTGCCGCGCCGCCATTGCCGGTGTGTTCGCCCCGCAGGGCGGCCCTGCACTTCTTCCTTCCAGGCCAGCCGCCGCCCTTTGCCGCCTCGCCAGGCCGCCTCGCCCGACCCCAACTGCCCTCGCGCCCGGCCACGCCTGCCCAGGCCAGCCACGCCTTGACCACGCCTGGTGGACCGCGCCACGCCTCGCCGTCTGCGTGCCCGACCCTGCCCGATCCCGACGCCGCCTGCCCCTACCCCGACGCCTGTCAGGTATGCCTTCTCACTTATTATTGTCGAGGTAGTGGTAGTTGTAGTAGTATTTGTTGTATTAGTGGTAGTAGTAGTACAACTAGTGGTAGTATTAGTAGTACAAGTAGTGGTAGTAGTACTAGTACAACTAATGGTAGTAGTTGTAGCAATAGTGGTAGTAGTAGTGGAACCAATGGTAGTAGTAGTAGCAATAGTGAAAGTAGTAGTACAAGTAGTGGTACTACTTGGATATATTCTTCTGCATGGATTGATATCCAAACTACATGGCTTCTGTTGAGCCATATGTGCTTGTCGGCCATCGTGCCGTTGTTTTTTGCAGGTTTTCAAAACCTCACCGTGCAGGGGAGGTTCTGCCGATTTTTTTTTGTAAATGACAGTATTTTGTTCCATTTTTGTAGAGAAGGGCCCGTCGGAGTTGAGTCGGAGTTCTCGCCACCGTGCCGGTCTGCCTGCACCGCGTCATCTCGCCACTGCACCGACCCGCCACGGCCCCGCTAGCCTGACTCCGCCGCCACCCTAGGTATAACCCCTCTTTTCGTATCATTGTCGTAGATCGCGTAACCTAGTTAGGCGTCTCCCGTTCGAAAGAGATACGGTTGGAGGTATGTAGACCTTTGCATATCTATGACCGTATCTATTTCGGATTGTCCACACTTTTTGGACAGCCCGCGGATACGTAGATAGGTTAGTTCCCATGTTCTGCTCTGGTCCGAGACAGAGTTTCGGCATCACCTCCCTGTTGTTCTCCGGATACACACTCTTCTTTGGCAGGACGTGTATCTGGAGAACAACGGGGAGGTGCTGCTGAAATTCTGTCTCGGATAGGAGTAGAGCATGGAAACTAACCTCATCTACGCATCTGCGGGTGGGATTAGGACCTATCCTCACCTATTAGACAGTAGAAACACCATGTAGATGCAATTAATGGTTACATTACTCGCTGATACATATGTTAGAGGATGGATGACCGTCAGTGGATGTACACGGGCTGGAGAAGTCGAGTGATTACACCACGGAATGGATGAACAAGACCGATGCTTTCTTGAGCAATTGCATTTGGCAACGTTGCTAAAGGACATTGCCTAGTTTTGTGTCCCCGCAAAGCAAATGTGGAAACAGGAGAAGGGTAAACAAGGTGGAAATGGGTAAACATCTTGTGAAGAATGGATTTACGTCGGACTACACCCGGTGGGTCCACCATGGTGAAGCCCATCGTATGAGAGAGGAGGTGGTGAGACCACGGGTGGAGGCTTTTGATGCTGATGCCGGGGTAGCAGACATGTTAGATGACTTTCACCAAGGACAATTCGATGAGGGACGTGAGAAGGAGGAGATGGTGGCAGCCGCACAGGCATTCTACGATATGATGGACTCAGCACAGAAACCCCTTCACGATCGGTCAACGGTGTCTCAACTGGATGCCATTGGACGCT